TCACAAAAGATGATCCGTGCGACCCGCGTTGGATTGGCCGGGTCGAGGATGCGTGCGACTCCCGGAAGCACCAACAACTTTAGCAATTGGTTCTTGCATGTCCCTCCAGCTTTCACATAGAAGTGGAGTTCACCCCCTGTTTGTGTAGAGGAACATGGTCTTTCCAAAGGCCATGCCATCCACTTCCAATGTCCACTTCCATCCCGGATGCACTTTCTTGCACGGCACCGCCATGAAACCACTGCAGTAACTACCACGAAACGGCCATTTGTGCAGTGAAAGGGAGCATTTGGGTGAGAACGCTTTTTATGACCAATGACTCTTTGAGAACTTCCACCTGCCCCAGACACTCCATGTATGCCATATATGCCTGCATTGGGGTGGGCCATGAGGGGTCTTTCTGGGGCGGCAGTCCGTCATGGCAGTCACATGTGTCGTGTCTGGGTGCTAGTCAGTGATGATCCACCTGCTTTCTCATGCGGCCCGCTGGGTGTGGGAGTGGTTTATGGACACTTCGAAAGAAGAGCACCTCTGTTCGGGGCGACCTGAGCACAAAGACCTGAGGACCGACATGAGCACGCAGGAGTGCGCGCCATGTCCTCCACCTCCTTGGGACTGACATGCATGAAAAGGGGGGGTCAATGTATTCCAGACCATCCAATGGAACGTTCGAACATGAAAACAGCCAGGAGGCTGGTGGTCTTTTTCTTGGTCCTACACATCGTTAGGGATCCACATACCGAACCTCAGGTTCGGTACGACTGGGCCCGACACAGGCACCTACATAAACAGTCTCCAATCACCTAACCTGAGGTTCGGTACGACTGGATCCCGGATGGGCGTGGGTCATGTTTCAGCCAGACACAACCGATGGGACTGCCATGCCTACATTGACTCAAACCACCCCAATGTAGGCATACCAGCAGTCACAGAGCTCGGGGTGCCGAAGGAACGAAGGATAGGGGTGCCCAGCTACTCCACTCATAGGATGGGGCGAGCCACACCACCCCGAGCGACCTGTGACGCCTGGTATAATACCATACATGGCTCGTCTGGGACATGGGTGAAACACCTGGGTTTCCAGATGGCTTGTGACGCCGGACGCCCCTCCAGTCCTAGGAGGGGCGATGGGCGGCACTGGAAGGCAGGTGCCCATCAGGGCGGCCAAGGGCGGTGCCATGGGGCAAAGCGAAGAGGAGGTCCAAGACCGGCCTTTGGTGGTGTTTTTGGTCCCCTAAGAATCCGAGCTCGGGCTCTCCATGGGTCCGGGGTCGGACCCGACCTCTTGGCAGGGGTCCGGACCCGAACCAAACCCTATGTGTTGGTGAAGGAGCCCGGATTCTAAGGGTCATGGCAAAATGAACCACATGCACATGCTGAATCTCTGAAGGCCTTGAAAAACCCGCTGCCATCGCTGGGATGGCCTGGTTTGGGAGAAGACGATCGGGATCGGTTGGACGAGAGACCGGACCGGGACCGGGCGGGACGGTTTGGTGGAGCGTTTGGGTAACACAAAACACATCATCAGAGTCCTAAGGTCCTAATGCAACCCCTACAAGTCCAGTCTGAGCCGGTAAAAACGATAAAACTCCTGGTCTTTGACTTCCTGAAGTAGTGTTTTGGATGACCAACTCTAGGATTTCAGCTCATTGACGGGAACGAAGCTCGCCCTCCCTCTGAGAAGGTGAGCAGGGAGAGAGCCTGATTTGATGCACTAGCGAGGTCCAGGTCCAGGTCCGGTCCGACTGGACCTGAGTCGCCAGACGCGACACTCCATACACGGGACTGCCATAGGACTGCCGATCAGGCCAGACCCCCCAAAACCAACCACCCGAACCAATGGGGCGGCATCTAGAGCAGTTTGATGGAGCGTTTGGGTAAGACTGCCATATCCCCAAAAATCCAAGTACCTGATGATTAACCCCCCCAAATCCACCCCAATCAATGTAGGCATATATGTCAGACTACATGGAGTGTCTGGGTAAGACTGTAGCCCAGAAGATGTAAACCGCCCCATTGACCCCAGGTCAATCAACCACCCCAATGTATATATCCAAATATGCCAGTCCCATGCCAGTCGGTTTTTGAGGGTGTTCGGAACAGGATCGTCGAACCGGACTTCTTCTGGGACTGGCATATTGATCTACCAGCACCCGACTTCACAGGTCACCAATTGAGACCTTCAACAGGGCCTAACACCCAACCATCCATTTCGAAGACCTGTAGAGTCCAATACTGGTCCCGGTGTCTTTCCGGGGCAGCATCTCTTCCAGTCCCCGATTCGGTGCTTTGAGGACTGGCGGATTCGGACGGCCTAGGCTTTCGGATGGCCTAGGCTTTCTCGATGTCGGCGTAAGGAAGTCACCACCCAGAGGCTCCCCACCCGAACCAACTGCTACGTCTTGCTGAAGGGTCCATCGATGATGGTGCCCGTCGATGCGACCCGAGACCGATCATCCGCACGGGTCAGGGGTCGACCGGGTGGGCCTCACCAATCCCTATAGGGTACTTCGGGGTCCCGGGGCCCGCCAATCAGCAGAGGTTGAAGAACAATAGACTATATCCTGTACTCTAGCCCAGACACTCCATAGAGGTTGAAGAACCCTATAGACTATATCCTATACCCTAGCCCAGACACTCCATGGGACTGCCATATATTCAGTTGACCCCTCATGGCCCCCCTCAACTGATCGGCAGTTCGTCCTGGCAGTCCCAGACGTGTCGTGTCTGGGTAGGGATCCGTTTTCGTACCGAACCTCAGGTACGGTGGGACTGGGGTGGGTGGGTGCCAGGAGGCCTATATCCTATAATGTAGGGATCCAGTCGTACCTTCTCAGGTACAGTGGGACTGGGGTGGGTGTTTGGGGAGGGTCTAAGTCCAAAGCGCCCCCGCCAGGACCGACGGATGCGTTCCGACCGGCTGGGGCGCCCGTGGGACCGGACGTCCGGCCGCGCTGTCGGGGTGTCCAGTCTGGTGACCTATACCACCCTCCTGGCCAGGCTGTGACCTATAGACCCGACAGGTAGTGAACCTGGACACCGAACTTGTGGTCAGGTTTCCACCTGTGAAGTCGGGTGCTGGTATAAGCAGTGTGGAGTTGGCCAGGTCACCCTGACAGGAAGCAGCTGGTAGATGCAACACTTATGCCTTTTGGTTGATTTATGTTGATTTAATTGATGAAAAGGCAGACATTCTGCACAGTTGGAAGATCCAGGTATTAATCCCATGACCAGCACCCTCTGAATCCCAAACACGACACGCTTTTGGGACTGCCATAGTTGCCGATCAGGCCAGGGGTGATTGATTTCAGGGGTCAACTCTGTATAGGCATATATGCCAGTCCCATGTGTCGTGTTTGGGATGATAGTTCGTTGTGTTGCGGCTTTTCTCGCAAAATGATGATCCCAGACGTGATTGATTGGACTCTCATGGACTTTTCACGGGTAGTCTGGACCCTAGTTTGTAGTTTGGACGAGCCAGGAAACTGGTTTCGCGAGGTGTTCAGGGCTCTCGAGGGGGGGGTTCGAAACCAGTCTCCCGCTGTTCGAGGGAGTCTCACGAGGAAAGGGCAGAGTGACTCACAGATTCAGACTGGGCAGGAATGAAAAGTGGATCAGCTTCAACGTTTCAGAGACACATTGGGGACAACTGAAATCCGGATTCACTCTCTTTGCCAGCACCCGAAACCTGCCAGGTCACCACAAGCGATAGGTTTTAAGTCTCCAAAAGCTACCGGAAGAGACCTGTTGGAGGGTGGTGGAACTAACATGGAAGTGGAGCAGATTCACCTCCTGTTTGTAGAGGAACATGGTCTTCCAATGGCCATCCAGTTCCACATGAGTTCCAGGGAATGTATAGGGTGGCAAGTTTGCTTTCACCTATCCCAGACCGCTCCGTGTATGGCAAAATACATTCCCTAGGGATCCAGTCGTACCTTCTCAGAAGGTACTTGGACCCTCAAAACCTACATAAGAGTGTCGAACACATGGACTCTTTGGGTGTGTGAACCCCTGGCTTCCTGAATCCCCAATACCTGGACCCTCGAAAGTACCCTAGAACATGGAACATCACCCTATAAAAACAGGTACCATTTTCCGAGGTACTTTGAGACTCCAGGTATAGAGGTTTGGTCCAACCACCAGGCTTGGCAGGTCCTGGTCATGTATTGAGGGACCCAGCAAAAAGGCCGTTTAAATCGAGCGGACCTTTCTCATGTTCCCTTTCTATGGCCATCCAGTGGCACAACGAATTGGGAGCGAAACACGGAGGATGGGCGGAAAGGCTCCGTGGGTCGGGCTTTCCCGAAAGCCCTCCCTCGTCCCGAAGCACGGCCGCGCCCGTCGATCGATGCGTCGCGTGACAGTGATGGGCCTTTCAAGCGGCCGTGACAGTGATGGAAAAGCGCACAGCTTCGGTCGAATCTCGCAGTGAGACACATCTTTGTTGGACGCCTCGGCAGCAGAGGAAGCCCTAAAAGCAGATTGAGCTGTTAGGAGATGCTTCCAACAAGCACCATTCAGACGAGTTCGTCTTGTTGCAGTATATAAGGCCCATCTGAGATTTCCCCCCACTCACTTGCACGTACTTCGCTTCGCCAGTTCCATGCCCCTTCCACCACCACCTCTTCCACCTCTACCGTACCGCCGTCCTGGTGCCCGGCCGTTTGGGACCGGGAGAAGCTCCCATTTGGAGGGGCAACATCCAGTGGACGGTGGACGGAAGCACCTTGTTGAAAAAGAGCATGAAGTAGGAGCAGCACCTTGTTGATTGGGGCAAAGCACCTGCACCTTGGTCATGATTGGAGAAGTGAAATTCTCTTCTTCCATCATGTTTGGAGACTTCCCAGTGCTTCCCATGATCCATCCTTCTTCTTTCCTCATTGAGTCAGTCATATCATTTCGGATCCATACCATCATCCTATATAAATATACGAACTGACCGTGCTTCACAAGCTGTGCGAGAGCCAGATCCTCCGCCGCGCGCCATGTGCTCGCGCTCCATGGAGATCCCCGCACTACGCTTCACAGTGAAGCCTCGGCCCGCCAGCTGCCGCAAAGGCCCGGGGTCGGAGCACCGAGCGCCGCGGAGCGGCTCGTTGAGCGGCGCCGGCGTCGACGACGACCCTTCCCGGGGTCGGGGTCGAGTGGAGGGCTGGATCAAACCAGGCGCCTGGGACCGTCCCAGGTCGTCGATTCATTCGGGAACCAACTGGGACCATCTCAGTTTGGACCTGTAAATGCGGTTTTTGACCCGGTTCGTAGATGTACCAATCCCGTGTTTGCATGATATTTGCTTCACAGGTTGTGTCTTTGTGGATGTGGGCAAGCAAATGGTAAACCATGGTAAACCCTAGGAAATTCCAATCAATATTAGTTTAATATGCTGCACTGAACAACCATCATTGTTTTATGAAGGATTTTACATGATTTTACACAGAAAACCAGGTCAACCATTTAGTCCCCAAGTGAGTGGATCATGGGCACCCCTAACCTCCATTAAGCACCCCTTTGTGACTGCTGGTTTAAGAGTCTAGGGAAAAGATCTGCAAAGATCATCTCGTCCATATGCGCCTTTGCGCCTTTGTGAGAGCTGTGCTAGCTCACTGTGTCTGCGCCATTTCGAACCCACACTCCGTTGGACTGACAGGCCCACGTGGGCTCCAACCGACCGACCCGAGGTCCGAGGGACTGGACCCAGACAACCATCCGACCCCTCTGAGTGTCCTGGCTGGACTACCACTGATCCCTTTTGGAATCGCCAGGAGAGGTCGGAGGTCGGTGAGGTCGGTGGCTGAATTCCCGTGTCCTGTCGCCGATCGCTCTGAACTCCACCACCGCCACGATGGATCCAGCCGCTGGGTCACGAAGCCATTTTCGTCACGAAGCCAGCGAGAAACGGATGTTGCAATCCGAGAACCGGAGGACTGAGCACTACACGCAAAGTTGGTGTATCAAAATGGGGAGACCTCTCTTCTTGGGAAATAAAACACCTGGAAGAAGGGAAATCGACGTAGTATACCCATTGGTTGGGGTGTGTTGGACGAACCACTGGACCCACTGGGGGAAAGAGACCGGTGCACGCTTGGTCGTGTTCGGCGCCTTTGCGTACCGTGTACGTGCTTGCCTCATTGTTCGGCCCCCAGGCTAGGGACTGAACGTACAGTCTTCAGGGATTGCTACGTTCGTAGCTCCTGGCACGAACGTCACTGTGCATCGCTACGAACGCAGCAAGGTGCATCGCCACGAAAATCGAACAAAGAAGCTCAAGGCTTCATTTGTGGTTTTGCAGTGGAGGACTCACCCCTTACCCACACACTCCATGGGACTGCCATATATGCCGATCAGTTGACCCCTCAAACCACCCCAACTGATCGGCATATATGGCAGTCCCATGGAGTGTATGGGTATCTGTTTGATGGCCCGGATTCTTAGGGCAAGGAGAAATTCCTCTTACCCGTCTCCTCGCCCTCGTGGACGGAGCGTGGTTCGATCGTAGGTAATGCCTCCAAGGGCAGATGGCGAGTTCAACAGATGCAGGAGGTGCCTTGGTTGCAAGAACTATTCTTCCCAAGAATCCGGGCCAGAACTATCCCTCGAAGTCCGTTTGACCATTAAAAGATCCGTAGACCTGGCGTTGTAGTGTAAAGTCCTTAACACCATTCAGACAAAGTGGTGGTTGGAAAGCCCGAACCAACGTAAAGGGTTTTGGCTGTTGGGTCCGGCCCCTGCGAAGATCCAAAGATTCACAGGGAAAGTAGATCCTGTACCAGCACAATCGACGTGGAAAAAAACGGAAGAACTCCCAGGAGTTTCAAGACGGGGTGCTATCCATGGAGGTTAGGCGTGCCCATGATCCACTCACTGGATGGGACTAGGCACCACCCCGACATGTGACTCCTGGTCCATCAACATCCATGGATTCACAAGCATCCATTCAGCTACTAAAACAACATACATACACGAAAAACATTTTAAATACAAAGAAGCTGGCTGAACTTATGGGCATTCCATGTCCACATTTCCATGATTGGAGCCATGATTGAATTACCCGGTGATTCGGCAAAGATTTGTAGTTTGGGAGTGGTTCACACCCAGTTTTGCTTTACAAACTCAGGGTGTTTGAAACCAGTTGTTTGTAAGAGAACACCCAATTGCAGAAATTGAAGGCCCCTCAAGAGATGCATGGCCAGACCATGAAGAGATCTGCCCAGAGTGAATTCACCGCAGAGTGTTATTCCAAAGTCTGACACGACGCGTGGAAAAAACCCTTTGGGTCTTTCATGGTCTTGCCATCAAAAGCATAACAAAAACAACAGAAAAAACACAAAGAACGCAGGCCCAAAACCAAGTGGAACTGGAAAGTCCCCCCCACCCTCGGACTATCTCGGACTACGTAGCTGTTTTTCCGCATAGTTCCTTTCCTTTTCCGGTCTTCTCCATCGTCTCATCGTGCCGCCGATGAGGCCTTGGGCTCTGTGGGCAAGGTCATCCGGGTCCGGCAGGAGCGACCCCCGTGCGCCATTGGTGGCCCGTTCGGATTCGGCAAGGGTAGAGAGAGCATTGTGGGTGGCTTGATCTATATGCCAGCACCTTCCAACACCACATACATGGAGTGTCTGGGAGGGGTTGCCCTCCCTCCTCTACAGGTCTATACGTTGGTCTCAGTGAAACCTAAAAACCTGATTGTTCTTAGTGTGACCAACTCGAGTAAAGTAAGGTCCAACTGACCTGGCATACCCAGACACGACTAATGGGACTGCCATAGGACTGCCGATCAGGGGTGGGCCATGAGGGGTCAATATATATATATATATATAGGCATATTCTGGCAGTCCCACATGTTTGGGTGCTACTTGTTCCATGTTTTGCAACCTCGAAACATGGTGCCCAACCAACACATGGTGCCTGGTCGTCGCCTGTGACGAACCCGCGTCGGTCCGTCGATGGCCGGCCAGGCCCTCCAAGAGGGTGATGCTGTGTGGGTGGACTATCCAGACGTGGAAGACGAGCTCCACCAGGGTGACTCCGGTCGCGAGTTGGTCGCGGGTGACCGAGACCTCTGGAGAGAAGCTCGTTGGTCGTGGACTTCTGAGTCCGACAAGTCCCATGAAGTGTTTGAGTAGTTTTGAGTACGCAGGCGTGTGTAAGTCGACATGCCAGGCGTCACATGTCGCTCGCTCGGGGTAGGGTTTTCAGCCCCATCCAGGGGCCGTGCATGGATCTACCCCGCACCCTCCGGAACCGGAACCGGCACCTTCCGAGCGAGCGACATGTGACTTCTGGTCGAACGGTACCCCAGGATCGACCGGGTCCGAGTTCGTTCAGGTCGCTGATTCGCTACCTCTGTGGGTGGACCGAACTCCACGGTGGACCGAACTCACATCGAACTCACATCGCTTTGTTGTTCGATCGACTGCTGGTCTAGAAATCACTCACGGGTCGCGGCGCGAGGTCGCTCGCTCTGGGTCGCTATAGGTCAGCAATAAGGGATCGGAGACCGATGGAAAACCAGTCGATGTTCGTTCACAGCCCTACCAACAGAGGTGGGTCAGAACCCGAACTAGGCTATCATGATAGGTATCCCAGGTCGACCGGGTCCGACTCGTTCAGGTCACCGGCTACCTCTCTTGGTACTTCGAACGTCGGGACCCCTCGAAGAACCGACGTCCAGGGTCTCCAGGACCGCGTGGACTTGGACTTGGCACCATTGAGTTCATGTGTTTTTACACCAAACAAACCACATGTTCAAGACAAGACTACAGGTCTACCAGGATTTTCTAACAGGTTTCCAACAAAAGGCTTGTTGGGCCCTGACAAGTCTCAATTGGTGACCTGGAGGATGCTGGCCTATGGCATTATCTACTTGCATTGGACCTATGTTCAACAGACCCAGCTGATCAGTGACATACGCAAGTCCCAGACGGGTCATTGATGGTCATTTCAACCACCATTGATTTATACCTGGATCTTCCAACGACGTGCAGGTCACCATCCAGGATGGAATCCATGAAATCAACCAAGTTAGGCATCCATGTTGCACAGTTGGAAGATCTATAAGGGTTCGAATCCGGAACCATGCTAAGGACCACACCCAGGACGACCAAGCCTTTCCATTTTAATGCTCCAAGGCTTCGGCCCAGAGGGACAGCCCGACGGCCCGGCCTCGGACCTTCTTCGCCGACTGTTCACGTGTCCCCATTCGTAGCGTCCTTTCTTGCTCCGTTCGAGTCGCGATGCCAGGAGCCCCGTATTCGTGGCTTCTTAGTAGACTAGTAGTAAGGCCAGAAGCCCCCCCCAGACACTCCATGGGACTGCCATATATGCCTATTGGGGTGGTTTGAGGGGTCAATGGGGCGGCAGTCCTATGGCAGTCCCATGGAGTGTCTGGGTACCAGTAAGGCCAGAAGCCCAGCCCCTGAGGTGATGAATGTTGGATACTTCCTCGCCTTCACGAGACGGTGGAACCTTGGCATCGACCGTTGAGCTTCCGAACCGGTCCCGGGTCGCTTGGGTTCTCCTGGTGACTTGGTGCTCTTGCTTTAGGACCACCCACGTGCGCAGGCCGAGAGACACAGCATGTCTCCTCCAGGTCTAAAGCTCCGGTCCAAAAGCGATGTCCAACACTGAAGAAGGTGACCAAAGGAAAACACGTGACCTGGATCGGGTGACTTTGGTATGGGTGAATCTCCTTCTGGCCCAGACGCTCCATGTATATATGCCGAGTGTCTCGGTCACCGGGGTGGGCCACTAACGGGGTCTGGCCGTTGTCAATTGCTCGGCAGTCCTGGCTGGCAGCCCGTCGACGTGTCGCGTCTGGAAATTCCAGACACCAGCAGTCACAAGACGGGGCCGGGTGCTCTCACAATGGGGCCGGGTGCACTTGGGGTGCTCAAAACATCCGGAGCCACATCACCTCTTGACTCCTGGAAGACATGTTTCTCGGTTGGGCCGGTAGCAGTCTGGTTTGGGGACGCGTTGCGTGCAAGCACCTTGCCTGACAAACACCATTGGTTTTGAGATGTTTAGATGATTTTAGATGCATTGACCCCAAATGTTGTTTATTCCCCACCTGTCAGGTGAGGGTTGTTGGACTTTATGTCAGCCCCATCTCCTTCCTTCCTTCCTTCCTTCCTTCCTTCCTTCCTTCCTTCCTTCC